TTGTTATTCCAAATATTTTAATAAGAGTTCTGTGCAAGGCATTTAAAATGCCAGTTTGTAAAGATAAACTCTGTTGGAGAGAGAGAATACAGAACACAGGTAGCCACAGAGCTGAGGAATTTTCTTGATTTGGGGCAGGGTCTGAGAGTCCAGTGTTTTCTGATCAGCCTTGCACTACTCCATAATCTCGTATTTCTCCTTTTCTGTGTCAGAAATCTCTCCTTCTTGATGTCTAGGTTTACAGAGCGTCTTTTTCTTGAAGTAAGCATCAGTAAGATGATTTGGAGTTTTTACCCCTGAAAGCTTAACCCTAGTAGAGGTGGCAATGACGAATTTCTGATGGATCCTTCTCAGAGGAACATGGTAGATGGTCAGAGGTCCAGTCGCCAGTAGCAAGCCACTAGCCAACTGCTTTAGGAAAACTACTTGCTTGTCCTTGTGGTGGCCAGTGAGTATGATCAGAATTGTGCCGGGGGTGATGCTAGATCCAAGTCTCCTCCCATGCTGGCTGAAGGACTTTTTGCCATGACTTAGTAGCTTTCTAGGCACATCCTCAGTAGAATAATACCTCGGCATCTTGTGAATCTTTACCACATGGGTTCCTCTATTCTTATCACCACCAACTGGCTTTGAGATAGTAGCAGCCTTCTCTTTCTTATTCCTTTCAGTCTGGGTTTTTGGGGCATCATATTTCCACTTATACATGGCTCGCCAGGAATGCGTTGCAGGTCTGGAGTATCCACCAATCCCTCGGGCCAGGACTGGGTTCCTACTGCAGTGCTTTTGAGGCTTTTTTACCACCTTTTCAGCCACACCTTCCTTTTTATTGTTCTTTTTTTCCTTTCGACCTTCTTTTCCTTTGGTTCCTTTGGGGGTCTTTTGTTTGCCATCTTGAGAGAAGGGAAAGATATACATCTTTGAATATATTTAGAATCCTGTTTCTAATTTTTATATCTTATCACAAGTTTTTTCTTCTGATATTTCAAATGCAGTTTTTCAGCCCTACCAATTTATAAAACATTATGGACTTATTTCTTTTAGTGATTTAAGTCACAATAATTTTAATGATCTGTGGAAAGGATTTAAAAAAACAAACGGGTGTGAGAGGAATGTATTGGGAGAAAGAGAAAGGGAGAGGTAGATGCGTTAGATTATCTTACATAAAAGAAGCAAGCAAAAGCTTTTACAGTGGAGGAGAAGGGGGGGAGGTGAAGGGGAGTGAGTAAACTGTACTCTCGTCAGAATTGGCTCAAAGAAGGAATAACATATACGCTCAATTTGGTATAGAAATGTATCTTACCTAAAGTAGAGGTGAATGGGATAAGAGAACTGGGGGGATGGTGATAGAAGGGAGGGCAGATTGGGGGAGGGGGTAGTCAGAAGGAAAACACTTTTGAGGAAGGACAGGGTAAAAGGAGAGAGAGAATAGAATAAACAGAGGAGAATAGGACAGAGGGAAATTCAGTTAGCAATAGTAGCTGTGAAAAAAATTTTAAAGCAAGTTTCACTGATAAAGGCCTCATTTCTCAAACATAGAGAACTGAGTCAAATTTATAAAAATGAGAGCCATTCCCCAGTGGATAAATGAGCAAAAGATATGATCAGTTTTCAGATGAAGTAATCAAAGCTATCTAAAGTCATATGAAAAAATGCTCTAACTCACTATTGATTAGAAAAATGCAGATTAAGACAGTTCTGAGGTACTACCTCATACCTGTTACATTGGCTAATAGGACAGCAAAGGTAATGAGAAATGTTGGAGGGGCTGTGGGAAAAATGAGACATTAATGCATTGTTGGTGCAGTTGTGAACTGATTCAACTAATCTGTAGAATAATTTAGAACCATGCCCAAAGGGCTGTAAAATTATGCATATCCTTTGAGTTAGTTGTACCACTACTAGGTCTGTATCTCAAAAGAGATAAAAAAACAATGAAAAGGACTTATGTACAGAAATATTTATAGCAGGTCTTTTCTGGGAGCAAAGAATTAGAAATTGAGAGGATACCCATCAGTTGGAATGGCTGAACAAATTGTGGTATGTAATTATGATGGAATACTATTGGAAATGATGATCTGAAGAAAAGCGAAATGTATTATGTAGAAAGTCACAACAGTATCACTTCTCTCAGCAATGCAATTATTCAAGACAACTTTGAAGGACTTAACGGTGAAAAATGCGATCCATCCCCAGGCAAAGAAATGATGATATCTGAATGCAGATTGAAGCATGTTTTTTTTTTTACTTTATTTTTCCTGAGAGTTTTTTTTGTTTGTTTATGTTTTCTTTTACAACATGACTTATGGCAGTGTTTTGCCTTATACAAATGTATAACCCCTATTGAATTGCTGGCCTTCTCAGTGGGGGGCAGGGAGGGAAGAAGGGAATTTGGAACTCAGAGTTTTAAAAATGAATGTTAAAAATTGTTTTTACATGTAACTGGGGAAAAATAAAATACTTTTAAAAAGAACTTCAAAATACAGTTTTAATGTACAACAAAATTAGGATTTGATTTGGGACATGGGTACACATAATTGTGTTGATTTATATAACCATGTGCTGATCAAAAGATTGCTTCTTAGATAACTAAATTTGAGAAATTTGTTTGACTTTGCATACTTTTTGTTTATTTTCTCTCCTGGTATTTCTTGAATCTACTATGCATTAGAGAGAGTAGATAAGTTTACAGGATTTTTTGGAAATAAAAGGGGTTATAGAGTCCAGAGCTTCTTAACCTTTTTACTACCCCTTCAGCATGTTAAACTGGTCGTGACCCCCATATAGGGTTTAAGAAGACCTGAGGCCAACTCCTTAGGGGTTAACCTCAAGCTAGGAGACATCCTGGATTCCTCACTATCTTTCACTCTCCACATACAAGCTATCACCAAGGCCTGCTGATTTCACCTTTGCAACATCTCTCAAATATGCCCCCCCCCCTTTCTATTCTGACACTGCCACCACTCTGGTGCAGGCCTTCATCACCTCACACCTATACTACTGTGATAACCTGCAGGTAGATCTGCCTGTTTCAATCTCCCACACTCCAACACATCCTCCATTCAGCCACTAAAGTGATTTTCTTAAAATACAGGTCTAATCATCACACACACACACACACACACACACACACACACACACACACACCCCCTTCATTAATCTCTAGTGACTTATCACCTCTAGCAGCAAATACAAACCCCTCTATTTGGCATTGAAAACACTTCATAACCTAGCTCCCTCCTACCTTTATAATCTTCTTACCCTTTACCTTACTCCCCAATGTGTACTCTTAGATCCAGTGACACTGGCTTCCTGGCTGTTCCACAGACAAGACACTCTTATCTCTTGGTTCTAGGCATTTTCTCTGACTGCCCCCATACCTGGAACACTCTCTTTACTCTGCTCTGACTATTGACCTCCCTGGCATCCTTTAAATCCCAACTAAAATCTCACTGGGCAACTAGGTGGCACAGTGGATAGAGCGCTGGCCCTGAAGTCGGAAAGATCTGAGTTCAAACCTAACCTTAGACACTTACTGGCTATGTGACCCTGGGCAAGTCATTTAATCCTGTTTGCCTCAGATTCCTCATCTGTAAAATGAGCTGGAGAACAAAATGGCAAACTACTCCAGTATCTTTGCCAAGAAAACTTCATATGGGGTTATAAAGAGTCAGATATGACTGAAACAACTGAACAATCAAAATCTTACCTGCTATGGGAAGCCTGCTGAAACCTCTCTTAATCTCAGTGCCTTCATCTGTTAGTTATTTCTTATTTATCGTGTGTGTGTGTGTGTGTGCACGCGCGCGTGTGTGTATGTGTGTGTCTTCCTTATGTATATTTGCTTGTTGTCTCCCATACTAGATTGTAAGTTCCTTAAGGGAAGGGACTGTCTTTGGCCTCTTGTTGTATCCCAAGCACTTAACGTGATGCCTGGCACATAGTAGGTTCTTAGTAAATGTTTGCTGATTGATTTACAGATAAAATTGAAGCCCAGTGAGATTAAATAACTTGCCCAAATTTATGTGATAAGAAGCAAAACTAGAATTCACATTCAGGTTCTCTGACTTCAAATTCAGATTTTTTTCTATGTCACCGTGGCCTGGAGAGGGAGGACAGGCTTAGAAGAAAGAACACCAGAGTCGGTATCCAAAGACACTGGGTTTGTGTCCTGGTTCTGCAATTTTTTGTCCATGGGGTCACAGGCCAATCACTTCACCTGTCTGTGCTAGAGTTTCCTCATCTATAAAATAAGGTAGAACAATGATCATTTTATGATCATCTTCTGGAATGTTGTGAGGACAGTTCTTTATAACAGGTATAGCCTCAGTGTAACAGTGTAAAAGAGTATTGTTATTATTAATGATAATAGCAACAATAATAATTAGTAATATTAGTAACTGAATTCTCTTCTAAGTTTCTCCTCTCATGCTTCATCCTGGTATGGAGGTAGTCCTAGGTTTTCAAAGCCATGCTAATGTAGTACAAGGTCAGTGTGGTTCTGTGAACTGGAAAGTTTTTGTATTAAGGTCTACTGATTAAGTCTGTAAAACAGGATACCTACATTGAAGAGGCTCATCACTAGCTTGGCTAAAGAGTGATCAATTTTTCAGTTTCTATAATTTGCTGAAACTGAAGTAATAGAAGGGCTGAGGGCCGTAAAAGTGAAGGGAGTTCCCACTCAAACAAAAGCACCTTTTTCTCTTGATTGTAGAAAGGTTACCTGCAATCTTAAGAGAATCTCTCATTTTCATCTCATAATTACCCAATCTGCATAAACAATTATGTTCATCATTTCTATTTCAGGGATTAGTCCTCTCAGTAGCTTTGGCTCAGCTGTACCATTTGCCCTTTTCTGTGGTAGGTTTGTAGAGGGAAAGATGTAACCTTCTAGTATCTCAGGATTACAGCACCCTGCTAGGCCTGCCTGTATTGTTGAAATTGGAAGCATTCCTTAGCAGAAGTATAATTCATTTCTAAAATCTTGCCCTCTCTCTTTATAGGAAGCACATTTGAGACTGAACACCTCAAGCTGCAATTGCACAAGGAATCCTTAAGTGAGCTGAGAAAGGAGTGCACTGCCAAAAGGTAAATGGTGTTAGCACATTTGCACCAGTGAACCTAGTGTTGTATCACTGTGGAGTTTGCCTGCAGTCTGTGCAAGATGCGGGGAGAGAGCATAATGTAACATAAAAGTCAGCATGGGACAGTGCGAAAAGTACTGGTTCACTAGTATGAGGGCTTGGATTTAAGTCCTGCTCCTATTGCTTCTTTCTTTCATTTTATTTCCATTGAATTTTTTTTTCTCAATTACATGTAAACAAAAAAATTTAACATTTATTTTTAAAAATTTTATTTCCAAATTCTTGTCCTCCCTCTTTCTCCTCTCCCATAATCGAGAAGATAAGCAATTTTATATAGATTTTATATGTGTAGTCATGTAAAACATTTCTGTACTTTTCATGTTGCAAAAGAAAACACAGACTATATAACTATAAAGGACATATGAAGAAAGACGCTTTCTGTATCCAGAGAAAGAACTGATAGGTAGAAGTACGTGTAGAATGGTTATACTTGTGTCCTATGGAAGCCATTACTAGGGCAGGGGATCGGGATGTAGGGAAGAAAAGAAGGAAAAAAGAAATTTACACGATAATTTTGTTGAATGTTTGAAAGGAATAGCAAGTTGTGCATAGATTTACAGCTTCATGTACAGTCATCTTTTTTATTATACTATATTCTGGAGATGCTTCCTTTATTTTATAAACTAAAAATAAAAATTTTTTTTTAAAATGGAAAACATAGAGCAGAAAAGCAACAACAACAACAACAACAAAAGAAAGTAAAAAAGTAGGCTTCAGTCTGCGTTCAGACTCCATCAGTTCTTTTTCTTTCATTTTAAGTCCTTCAGAATTGTTTTGGGTCATTGTATTATTGAGAATAGCTAAGTCATTTACAGTTGATCATCATACAGTATTGCTCCTGTTGTGTGTAATGTTCTCCTGGTTCTGCTCATTGCCCTTTCACATCAGTTCATGTAAGTCTTCTCAGGTTTTCCTAAAAGCATCCTGTTCATCATTTCTTGCAGCACAGTTGTATTCCATCACAGTCACATAACACAGTTTGTTCATCTATTCCTCAATTGATGGACATCCCCTCAATTTCTAATTCTTTGCCACCACAAAAGAGCTGCTGTAAATATTTTTGCACAAGGTCCTTTTCCTTTTATCTCTTTGGGATACCGACCTACTAGTGATGTGACTGAGTCAAAGGGTATGTACAGTTTTATAGCCCTTTGGGCATAGTTCCAAATTGCTTTCCAGAATGGTGTATGCTGCTTATTTCTAAGATGCCTGGGGTGTCTTACGTGCTTCCACAAGCTGCTGTTATTCTTGGCATGAGTCTTCTGTTTCTCATCCTAAAAACTAGCACCATTTTCAGATCTTCATCTCATGTCAATTCTCTCATTGTCCTCTCATTTCTCACTTCTCATTATTGCTGCTGCCACCGCCACCACCACCACCACCCCCATCACCCCCTACACCCCGCCCCCCACTCCTTCATGTTCTCCTGAAAGCTCACCACAGGAGTGTTCTTTCTTTCTGGTTTTCCTGACAGTACTAGTGGCAGCTCGGCTAGGTAGTGCAGGGAAGTTAGGGAATGCAATAGATAGAGCACTGGGCATGGAATCAGGAAGAATCATCTTCCTGAGTTCAAATGTGGCCCCAGACGTTTACTAGCTGTGTGACCCTAAACGGGTCACTTAACCCTGTTTGCTTCAATTTCCTCATCTGTAAAATGAGCTGAAGAAGGAGAAAATGTTTATGATATCAAAGTATGAGGTACCTGCATATTCTACAAATCTTTTGGCCTCTCTCATTTCTTTGGGAATCTTGCTTTCATATGTATTTCTTTCTGTTTTCACCTTTTCAAACCTTTGCAATGAAGTTACTAAGTATCACAGTATATCTTGATATAATTTAGAGGATTTTATTTCTCTACCGCTTCATCTTCTTCAACTAAAATTGGTACCTAACCTGAGATTATTTTCATTAGGTTGTATTCTTTTTGATGAAAATTATCATTATAATGGTTTAATACATCATGACCAAATAGATATTCCATAAAACAAAACTTGAACACCATTAATATAATCAGTGACAAAAGTTTTATGAAGGGAGGTTACTGATACTCTAAAATCAGAAAAACTGAAAAATGGAAGGGCTAGTTAAGATTTATAAGTATTGACTCAGTTACTTCATATTGATAATTAATTATTAGCAAGGTACTTTATTAATTTCCCCTCAGCTGTAAGAATGATCTTACCATACTTGACAAAAGGCATCATGTATCTATTACCAAATGATAGGCACACCAGTGGTTCCTCTATATATCATTTATACTTTTATGTACTTTAAAAACACATTCACTGCTTGTATCATGGGGAAAAAAATCTATAAGCATTTACATGAAAACAGTATGTTGACTGAAGAGTAAAGAGATCATGAAAAACATTCCTATGGTTGTAAAGAGACTTATTGATTAGATAATTATTAAACAAGCTACTCCAAAGTGTCATAATATACATACTGCCTTTGTTGATTTTTGTATAACTTTTGACTCAGTTGTGCACTCTCCTTATTCACATATTGAAAGAATATAAAATTGACTCTAGTGAAACTGGTGAGAATGCTAGAAAATTTAATTTCAGTGTGAAAAACTCTTCTTTGTTTAAAACATGCCATCAATTCAGTCATGTGAAGAATAATTCATATGAAATGTGTTTTTTCAAGGAAGCATTTTAAGGCCATTAGGGTTCTGGCTAAGTTGAATCAATTACTATGGTTCCCAAATATAAGTAAGTATGGTTTCCCAATCACATAAATGGAAAAAAACCCCACAGCACTTTATTAACTACTTTGTGTACAAGGATGAAGTCAAACTGTGGTTTCACCCAAACCTGCAAAAAGCAGTTATTTTGTGCTCCTGTGGAATAGTCTACAGGTCTTTGAATATAAAGGAAATAGGACAGCGATTTGTCCCAGACAGCTTCTGTCTGAACCCTATTGAAAAGATGAGTAGGATGAGATGATGAATTATATAATAATTGTACGACAAAATATGAAATATAATTTGATTATTATAGTCATCATTTCTCATTTATATAACATTTTATAATTTAGAAAGCAATTTACAGATGAGGGAATTGCTTTTGTCTCAAGAATGAAGTGACTAACTTAGGGTCACATAATCAGGAAGTGACAGGGCTGGCACTTAAATCTGAAAATGCCCCTTTTCCTATGCTACATGTCCTTTTGCGATATCTTTAAAATTATATTCCTTCAAAATAGTTCTCTGATTTACTTGTTCTCTGAATCTCATGGTCACTGTCTTAGGCCAGATTCTCATCATGAAAAGTCTGGACCATTTCAGCAACCTTTTGACTAGTTTTGCTGCCTACAGGCTATCCATTCTTAAGTTTATCTTCCTCAGATGTTTCTTTCATAAAGCCGTCTTTCATGAAGATATTCCTTGCTGTCCTATTATGCCTTTGCTTGTATTGTGTGTCCCTTTCCATTCCCGTTGTCAAATGCTCTTTCTCCTTGCTCTTCCTTTAGTCAAATCCCCATCTTTCAAAGTCCAAAGCAAGCCTTGCCTCCTCTGTGAAACTGTAGTATCATACACAATCTCATGATTTTAGAGCTGGAAAGGACCTTAAATATCATCCAGGTCCAATTCCTTCATTTCATAAAGCAAGAAACTAAAGCCTTGACAGATTAAGTGACATATAATTTCACATAACCAGATGTGTGGTACAGACAGGATAAAAATTCAGGTCTCTAGACTGGTAACTTAAGATAGTCCACTTTGCTAATGTATCCATATGCCCAGTTTGTTGTTATTAGTCCAACTCCTTTCCTTCACTATGAAAATAAGGTAATGTCAGAGCCAGGATTTAAACTTAGGTCCTGATTGTAAATCTAGGTTCTTTGCCTTTATGCCAGCAGTCTCCTGACTCTAACCTAGGGATATTTCCATTACATTGACTGTTCTGATTCAAATTGAAATCTCTCCTCTGAAGTTTAGCATCTAACAGGTTTGCTGCTGTTTTTCACTGCTGCATTTTTATCTCCTCACATAGATTGTTAGATGCACAGAAATAATAATGTCTTCTGTCTCTTTTGCTGAGCCCTTAACAGTAAACATAAGGCTAAGCACTTGAAACTGATTTGTTGATTGATAGCATTTAGCAATAAGGACTGCTCCTTTCAATCTTTGATTTTTTTTCTTCTGTCAAACTGGGCTTTAATCTTTGTGTTTCAGTTGTCTTAAGTTCAACAAATATTGTTTAAGCACCTGCTTAGGTGAAAGAGCTGGTATAGAATACTGGGGATAGGAAGATGAGATAGAGCCCTCGCTTGACTTAGAAAGGCTGCTTCAGGTGCCCTACTTCCTTTTCCAAATGCATTGGGATTGTTTTGGGACTTACACACACACACACACACACACACACACACACACACACACACACACACACAGAATTGAACACATTTTCTACTTTACGCTACCCCCTACATTTAGTTACAATTGCTTTTCTAAATAAGTAATTTTGTAATGAACAAAGCACCACTTCTGGGGAGAAATAGGCCATATGCATAAAACTAATATAGGCTATTCTTTTATTTTCTTTTTTTTAATTAATTAATTTATTTTGAACTATCAACCATCACTTCCATAAGCTTTTGAGTTTTACATTTTTCTCCCCCTCTCTCACCTCCCTCCCCAAGACTGCACACAATCTGCTATAGGCTATACATATACATTCCTATTAAACATATTTTCACATTAGTGATGTTATAAGTAAGGATTAGAACCAACAGGAGGAACCACTAGAAAGAGGAAACAAAACACAACAGAAGGAAAAAAACAGCAAATGGTATACTTCAATCTGCATTCAACTCCATAGTTCTTTCTTTGGATGTGGATAGCATTTTCCGTCATGAGGCCTTTAGAGAGGTCTTAGATCTGTGTATTGCTGAGAACGGTTAAGTCTATCAATATTAGTCATCACACAGCGTGGCTGTTACTATGTACAACATTCTCCTGGTTCTGCTCACTTCACTCAGCATCAGACCATACAAGTCTTTCCAGGTTTTTCTGAAGTCTGCTTGCTGATCATTTCTTATAACACAACAGTATTCCGTTACATTCATATACCACAACTTGTTCAGCCATTCCCCAATTGATAGGCATCCTCTCAATTTCCAATTCTTTGCCACCACAGAAAGAGCTGCTATAAATATTTTTGTACATGTGGGTCCTTTTTGCATTTGTATAATCTCTCTAGGATATAGCCCTAGAAGTGCTATTGCTGAGTCAAAGGGTATGCACATTTTTATAGCCCTTTGGTCATAGTTCCATATTGCTCTCCAAAATAGTTGAATCATTTCACAACTCCACCAACAATGCAGTAGTGTTCCAATTTTCCCACATCTTCTCCAGCATTTATCATTTTCCTGTTTTGTCATGTTGGTCAATCTGATAGGTGTCTATAGGCTATTCTTTATAGCAAGTAGACATCGCCAGACAGTAGAGATGATATACTCTTCAGGTTTATGTCTTCAGTTAGATCTTTGTCAGACAGTGGAGGAAAAGGATTAGAGGAAGGGAAAGGGCAGGATCTTTTCTAATTGCTGTTGGAGGGCAGAAGGTTTTTAGCACTGGCAGTGGTTTCCCACTGACTATCTGAGTAGCATAAAGTCCTAATGTTTCAGATCAGCTTGTGGGGGATGGGGTAACAGGGTACTTTTTGTCACTTTAATTAGCATAGGTGCTACTGTACCCAGATGTTAATACCAAATACAGCAAATGTTGGGGAAGGGGGAGGTTTTGTAAGTTGTTCAACTCCCCATACCTAGTATGACTCACAAGCTTTCCTTCTTATATAGGGAAGCAGAAGCTATTAAAGCTTAAAACTTCACTAAGACATTTGGGACATCATGACATCTCTGATACACATTAGAGTTACTCAGTTTTCAAGTTCCCAGGAATTCAGAAACATCAGTGGCCAAATGTGAAACTGAGAGTGGGATCTGGGATCTCATCCTGCTCTTTGTTTAGGATTCGAGAATTAGTTATCTGTAAAAATTAGGAGGTTATTCAAAAAACAAAACTACTTCACTTGGGCTAAGCTGAATGTTATCACGGTTTTATAAACTGAGAGTGGTCTTCCCAGCTGTTTAGAGATGTAAGACAAAGTATTAAAATTGGAAAGGTAAGCAGAGAACAATCAATCAAAGTAACTTAAGGAGTTTTGTTTTGTTTTTTACGCTTGTTTCTGGCTAGCTTGAAGATTGCCAAAGGGAACAGCTTGGAGGCTTTCTCACCTAGGGAAGATTTGCTTTACAGAGTTAGGGCTTTCCCCTTGGATTCTATACATGAATGCTGACTTAGTTGGGGATCAAGGATGGGGAGAGAAGAAAGGGACATCTTACAGATATGATGTTAAAGGGAAAATGGCCTCAGTTTGCCAGTAAAGCAGTACATATGAGTATACATTCATAAACAGTATCAGTTCAGTTACATCCACAGATGTTGGCTGATACTTGTAGTTATAAAAAATTTAAATAACAGATACTATTAACGAGAATATAGAAGAACTGTAGAGATCAGACATCTTCCCACCCGACTCCACTCCCATAAACCCACTCCTCTTTTGAACTTTCCTACTTAACTTCCCCTTGCTTTAGAAGGCACCACTCTTCCTGACCCCCAGGCCCACAGTGCTAATATCATTTTCATTTTTAGCCTACGTTTACAGTCAGTTGCCAAATCTTGTCATTTCTTTCTGCACAATTTAGATCCACGTCCTTCTCTCTACTAACATAAACTCTACCCTAGCTGATGTGCATGCTACCTTTCTTGGACTACTACAGTAGTCTCCTAATTAGTCACTTTACCTCGTTTCTCCCCATTCCGATCCATACTTCACATTTACCAGAGGGATCTTCGTAAAGTACAAATTTAATTATGTCATTCCCATTTTCAGCAAACTCCAAGAACTATTGCCTCCCAGATCAAATATACACCCTTTTATTTGTCGTTTAAAACTCTTCACAGCCAGGACCCTTCCTCTCTTTCCAGTTATATTATCATTTCACTTCTATCCACGCACTTTCCTTGCCAGTCTGGCGCAGTTGCTGTTCCTCACACATGATGCTCTAAGACTTATCTGTATGACTCTGGTGCTTTTTCGCTGCACGGACACCTCTCAAAATCCCTACCTTCTTTTAGCTTCTTTCAGGACCCAATTTCAAAGCCACTTCTTTCTGTGGGATGCCTTTCTCCATCCTCTTGCCTTCCTCTAGCTGTGGGATGCCTTCCCCTAAAAGGCACTTAACTTTGTATGTATCTTGTGAAACCTAGTTATGTACATGTCATCTCCGTTAGAATGTAAGCTCTTTGTGGGCAAGGACTGTTTTTGCTTTTTTTATGTCCCCAATACTTAGCACCAGCATATAGTAAATATCTGATTGAAATCACTGTAGTAGTTAGTTTTGATGATCTTTCCATAATTGTTTGTACTCTTATTTGTAATGCAAATCCTAATGAGATAATTGCATAGGAAAAGTCTAACCATTATTAAAAGTGCAGGGAAGTTGAGATCATTTCTAATCAGTGTGGTCAGGGGAGGCCTTTTTTTTTTTTAAGGGAAGGCTTCTTTTCAGAGATGATGTTGGGCAGAAAGGAAAGGATTTCAACAGGTAGAGATGGCTGGGTAGACACGAAACCCTTTCTATGCTTGGGAGCTTGGCTTGAGCCAGCTAGTCACATAGCTGAGGGTGCTATACGGAAAAATGGAATTTTGTTATGGGTAAATTTACATTTTATAAATAATTTTTTTCCTTCCTTAGAGAACTATTTTTGAAGACTAATGCGCAGTTGACAATTCGATGCAGGCAGTTGTTGTCTGAGCTTTCCTACATTTACCCCATTGATTTGGTAAGTTATACTGTCTAAAAAAGATTTTCCCTATACACCAATTATATTCCATTTTGAAATGGCCTCTCTCTAAACAAGAGTATGTTCTTATCTTAGTTTGTTAATTAGCATAGAATCTTAGGATTTAGAACTAGGAAGGATCTTACAGATCTAATCTAGCCCCCTAATTTTAAAGATATAGGAACTGAGGCTCAGCTCAAAGAACCTAAATTCAGAAACGTATTGGATTGAGTTTTTAGCTCATCTCTGTTGCTACGGTTTACTTCTTGGCATGAGCCAAATTATTTGTCATAAATAGTCAAATGAATTGTTGCAACAAACTCCTTATATGTTCCTGTCCACTTTTAAGATCTAGCTGATTAAATGATTTATTTTTATTTGTCCTTGGGACTTATTTTTAAGTCTTTGGATTATGAATCTACATTCTCTGAGCTAATACAGAAAACAGAATTGAGGTGACTGTCAAGAATTTTTACTTGAACAGAAAAATTACCAGACCTGATAAGTCCTTTTGCTTATTTTTAAATTAACAAATGATTTAAAATTTGAAATTTGGGGAATGAAAAAGAATGAATTTGTTGATGGTAATTGAGGTAGTTCATAATAATTTATTAAACTCATTTTGTATTTGTCATCCTGTATATATATAGGAACTTTTGAAAAGATATTTTGGGATGAAAATTTCATATGGCTTTTAACCTGATGACATTTTGAAATCATGAAAAGAATGCTTAAATCAACGCTAGCTGCTGAAACCTGAGATTTTATTTAGAATTTTCTTAACTTTTTAAGGAACTGATTTTGTGTCTTTGGTTAAATTCACAGAATGAGCAAAAGGATTATTTTGTATGCGGTGTAAAGCTGCCTAATTCTGAGGATTTTCAAGGTATTCTTTTCTCTTTAATTTATTGAGAAGGCAGTAGTTGTTTATGTATATTGACATAGGAGTGTGTTTTAGGAAGTCAGTATGGGAATTAAAAAAATACATTTTATATCACCTTCACTTCTGTGGAATATTTCTTGAGAACTTTCATCTGTTTTATGTAAAATATTGTTTACTAAGCTTCATGGTTCTGTAGATTCAGAGACTTAGAAGATTTAGAGCTAGAAAGTGACTTTAGGGATCAGCTAGTCTTCCTCATTTTGTAAATGAGGAAGCTAGGGCTCAGAGAGTGTTTTGTTACTTGCTCAAGATCACACCTTTAGTAAGGAACAGAGATTTCAAGCTACCTCCTCTGGCTCCAAATCCAGTGCTTTCCCTGTATCCCACTTTCAGGCTCTCTGTGGAGTAGTCCCCAAAGGGCTCACTTTACCTCAGGCAGAGAAAGGGAACAAGTGGCCTGGATGACAATTTGTTCAGTATCTATTTAATGAACATTTATTAATTGGATTTTGTGGGCAGAGTATTGTCCTTGGGGGCTGGGGAAGAGGAAAAGTCAGGAGAAAAGATGTGTTCCAGCCTTTAGAAGTGCCTTTGTCTATGTTTGGATAAAGCGTAGATACCAAAGTTCTTTGGTATGCTCCAGATAATTGCTTTGATTTATGTAGCAGTTTAAGGTTTACCAACCACTTCCCTCATAATAAGCCCAATAATGTTTTAGAAGTAGAAGCAGGGCAGCTATGTGGTGCAGTGGATAGAGCACTGGCCCTGAAGTCAGGAGGACCTGAGTTCAAATGCGACCTTAGACCAAACACTTGACACTTACTAGCTGTGTGACTGTGGGCAAGTCAGTTAACCCCAATTGCCTTAAAAAAAAAAAAGAAAATAGAAGCAAGACTACCTACATCTTACAGGTCAGGAAAGTCAGGCTCAGGAAGTTAAGTTCCTTGAAAGTAAAACTATTATACTTTTGCCCTGCTTGGGACATAGTAGGTGCTCAATCCATTTTGGTTCTTAATTTAGTAAATGAATTGCTCAGGACCACATAGCTAGTAAATGACACAGATGCAGAATTAAGTACAGGTTTTCTTATTCCAGATAAATAAACTTTCCACTTGGCCATATTGGCAGTTGAAAAGGTAGTTTCCTGATTTGAGGCTTGGAAGGTTTTCTTTCCTATGCCGGAATCTATCCTATGCAATCTTCCTAAATTTCTATAATTCTGAGGCTTGTTGGATCATATCTGGGGTGGCAAGTGTATATAAAACCCTAAGAAATTATCTAGTAAGGTCATTTAAAAAAATTAACCCTTACATCTAGGCTCAATAAAATAAAAATTAGAGGATTATAAACTTCCTTTTACCCTTTCAAATTGCAGGAATGGTTCATTTCTTTTACTAGTTGTTAGTTTATGTTGACTTGGACCTCTAAGGCATTTGGGTGGATTATAGTGCAACTATGTGTTTATGGATAATTGAAGTTTAGATGATTAAATTGATCAAATAAATGGTACTAGTTAGGCAATAATACTCTTGTTTTCAAAATGATGGAAAAGTTTTTTCTGATTATCTTTGTGCTTTCTCTGTTAGAAGTTTAATTTTTTATCACAGTATGCCCATAGTTGACCCCTTCCCTCCATCTGCTTTAATTTTTTAAAAAATATAAGCACTGTGCTGTACTTGAGAATATGTGTATATTTTAACGATTTTAAAAAAAAGTTTGGGGGCAGCTAGGTGGCCCAGTGGATAGAGCACTGACCCTGCAGTCAGGAGGGCCTGAGTTCAAATCTGGCCTCGGACCAAACACTTGACACTTACTAGCTGTGTGACCCTGGGCAAGTCACTTAACCCCATTGCCTCTGTGTGTGTGTGTGTGTGTGTGTGTGTGTGTGTGTGTGTGTGTGTGTTTTGGCTAGGCAATGGGATTAAGTGACTTGCCGAGGGTCACACAGCTAGTAAGTGTTATGTGTCTAAGGCCAGATTTGAACTCAGGTCCTCCTGAATCCAGGGCCGGTGCTCTATCCACTGCGCCACCTAGCAGCCCCACCCATTGCCTTTAAAAAAAAGTTTGCCAGGCTTTAGACATTCAATTTCATTGTTAGGGATTCTCTTCTTATTTACCCTCTTAAAAATAATGTCATTTTTCTATTAGACATATGGAAGAGTAATGGTTAATAACAGTCTAGAAGAGTCACTTCAGCAGCTATGTATAAAGCATTTCCTGTGTGCAGAGCATGTGCTTCGTTATAGGGCAGACGCAAGGCATAAACAAGACAGAACTCCTGCCAAAGCTGAATTTTGTTGTGAATTGTGACCTGGCATCTTCTGACTCTAAGTAGAGTCAGTGTCTGGCAGCATCTTTTTCTTTGTTGAAATTAGTGAAGTCTGGTCCCAGTCAGCTTTCTCCCCTGTTGTCAGAGTATTTGAATAGACATAGAAGTTTTCTTAACATTGTGATGTAGACTAAGTAATGAAAATAATATGATGCCAGTTTCATTCATGGTTCCTGTCTCCTCCCCACCTTTCTTGGATAGAAATAACTCAGCATGGCTTTCTCTCTGATATCAAGTCAGTCTGTTTTTATCTCGGCATTTCAGATGCAGGCCCATCAGCCTAAGTTCCAAATTTAGTTGTTTGGCACATAGTAAGTAAGCATTTAATAAGGGCAGCTATAGGTGAAGCATTGCATAGAGTGCTGGCCTGGAGTCAGGAAGACTTGAGTTCAAATGTGGCTTCAGGCATTTACTAGATGTATGACCCTGGGCAAGTCACTTAACCAACTGTTTGCCTCAGTTTCCTCATCTGTAAAATGAGCTGGAGAAGGAAATGGCAAAACACTCCAGTGTCTCTGCCAAGAAAACCCCGAAAGGGTCAGGAATAGAGTCAGATGTGAATGATAATGACTAAACAGCAAAAAGTGCTTAATAAATGCTCTGCATTCATTCATTCTTTTACCTTTTAATTTCTAAACCTCTTATCTGCTCCCCCCCCCCCGCCTTTGTCACACCTCCTCCCTCCGCTGCTTATACACATAGATACATAAACTTGTCTTGTACAGCAGGGAAGTATATTTTGCTAGTTGTAAAGAATATACCCAGGGTAACAAGAGTTCACTTTTATAGTGATGATAACGTAATTATAGCTGCAGCACTGTCATTTTTTTGCATAGAGAAACTTCCATTTTACTATTTCAGTAACAGTACTTGCACCTTAAATTTGTAGTTTACATTTTTAAAAGCATTTTTTTAAACAAACCTTATTTTGTTGGATCTTTCCACAAACCCTTGTGAAGATAGTAGGATAAATATAGTAGCTCCATTTTATAGTATGGGTTACATGACTTGCCCATAGAAATTTAGCTAATTAGTAGTAGAATAGTGGGATTGGAATTTCCTTATTTATTCCAGTTATTCCTGCTTCCCTTTTGTTTCAGTTACTGCTTTATGTGATGATTATTAGTTATTGCATTCGCATTCTAATTTAGGTCTTAGTTTTGATTCTGCCTTTTCCCTCACCTCTCCAGTGCTGTCAGTTACCAAGTTCTATTAATTGTATCTCCACGATATGTCTCATCAATGCTTTTCTGTTCCCAGAGCCACTATCCAGACAGAAGCACTAATTTACTCCCCCCCAAGCCCCAGATGTTATAGTAGCTTCCGTATTCCTCTACTGTTTTCCTGCCCAAAATGTTCTTCATACATTAAGAAAAATTTTTTCTAATATGGCAAAGTTACCATGCTACTCTTTACTAAATATCTTTAGTGAGACTTTATTACCTACTAAGTAATCTTCACATTCCTTTCCTTGGAATTCAAGGGTCTCTGCAATCTGGTACAACCCTGCTTTTCCAGCCATGTGTCACATTATTCCTTTTCTTTGTAGCCAAATAACCACTCACTGCTCCTTCCCTCCCAAAATCAACTTTCCAAATCCCACCAAACAAACAAGCAAATAAAATCACTACTGTGCTTTGCATTCCTACCACCATGCCTATACTTAGATAATTTCAATGCCTAGAATGTATTCCCTTCTCCTCTTTTTTTTTCCAGTTTCTATTCATTTTTTTTAAAAAAAGACTATGCTACTTCAATAGTCTTGTTTTTTGGACCTTATATAGCATTTTAAAAAAATTCTGTACAGCCTTCAGTATTCCTCTCGATATTGATTCCTTCCCAGCTGCCTACCAACATTTCTGATCCTTAAAAGCTTTCCACAACTACTCCAACATTGAGTATTCTCGTCATTTGTCATCTTTTTCCTTTTCTTTTTTTTTTTTAAGTTTTGTGAGGCAGTTGGGGTTAAGTGACTTGCCCAGGGTCACACAGCTAGTAAGTATTATGTGTCTGAGGCTGAATTTGAACTCATTTCCTCCTGACTCCAGGGCCAGTGCTCTACCCACTGCGCCACCTAGCTGCCCCAATCATTTGTCATCTTTGCCAGTTTGCTGGGTGTCAAGTGAAATCTCAGAGTTGTTTGTATTTCTTTTTTTATTATTGATTTGAACATTATTTCATGCAATTGTAATTCTTTTAAAACTGTTCATATTTTTCACATTGGGAAAATCAGTGATCTCTTAATTGCTTATTCACTTTTTCCCTCATCCTCATCCTTCTTGACTTCTTTGTAGCATCTGACATCTCTTTACCATCCTGCTCTCCTGAATATTCTTTCCTCTATGGGTTTTCGTGACACTCTTTTCTTTTGGCTGTCTGACCTGGCTGACTATTCCTCATTCTCCTTCTCTTCTCATTAACTAGCATGCCTTTAACTTTAGGTATACCTCCAGGTTATTTCCTAGGCTTTTTCTTTCTACATTCTCTCTTAGTGACCTTATCAACTGCCACAGGTGTAATTATAATTTCTATGCATTTGATTCCTAGATGTATATTTACAGCCTTAGTCTCTCTCCTCACAGAAATTCTATTCTCATGTCATCAACTGGCCTTTGGAGTTTTTTGCGTGGGATATCCCAAAGGCATCTCAAATTAAACAATACTGAAACCAAAC